CGGTTCACGCGCTCTGCTCCGGGGAGCCCTCGGCAGGAGGGCTGTGCGCCCCACGCCTCCTCCTCCAAACGAAGGGCGCGTGGGACAGAAGTGACTGCTCCGACTTGGGCGGCCTTTCATCTCTCCCTTTTGCAGCGGTGGACATGGGTCCACGGAGATGAGCATCAGGAGAAATTTCCCCCTGAGGGCTGGTGTGAGTCCCTGCAGCTGCACCCTCCTCCTCCCCGCACCCCTCCACCCCGATTTTTAGGCCTGAGTCTGAGGCCAGGGGGCCACTGCTGCTCACTGCCCCGCGTGGCCTGGCCATTGTTCCACAGGACACGGGAGAGAGCCCACCTCATTGTGTCCCGTCTAGGTAAGGACTCCAAGACAGAGCCAAAACCTGACTGAGGAGCATCTACAGCAGCTGTCCTTTAAAAGCGCAGACTCCCCCTATGATTGTATTAAAATACACTGTTGCCCCTAGCCGGTGGGTCCTAGGTTGGATTCCGGTCAAGGGCACATGCCTAGGTTGAGGGCTTGATCCCAAGTAGGGGGCATGCAGGAGGCAGCCAATGATTCTCTCTCATCATTAATGCTTCTCTCTCTCTCTCTCCCTCTCCCTTCCTCTCTGAAATCAATAAAAATATGTTAACATACAATAAAATACACTGTAAAGTGAAGAGAACAGGTCCATTACAAGCTTCAAGCTCTCTTATATTTCCTTACTTTAGAACCAGACATTGCTCTAGCAGAGTTGGGGCAACATGACTTCCTACATTCCTAACTAGCCTCTGACTAAGGCCCTCCCCCCCGCCCCCCAAAAGCCAGCTGTGCACCCTTCCACTCCCTCTCCCAATTTAAAATATATAGAGGTGTAAATTTAGAGTCTTCAAGACCTTGGCTGTGGATTTGGTGCTAACAGGCCGGGACTTCACTTGCTGACAGTAAAAAACAAGTGCAAGTGTGGAAATCGCATTGGTTTGTTGTTGGAACAAACAATTGCAAAATCCTCAGCTACAATCCTGAGCACATTTTGATGTGGTTTGTGCCTGGGAAGGGCCACCCTCCACAGTTCCGCCTGCATAATGTTACCTGAACCTTTTCTATGGTGACCTGCATCCCAGGCTCCCTAAATAAATATTTTTCCCTCTCCTCTACGTCATTTGAAGAGGCTTTCCTGTAAGAGGGAATCTTGGGCTCAAGCCACTTGTCAGGTCACTGTAAAATCTCCCTGTGTTAGGGCTTTAGGCAAATAGCCCCTGCTATAAATACGCTAAATCTCCCTGTGTTTTAGGGAGCTCTGTGCTTCCCCTCCTAACAACCCCTAGCAGGGATTCCTGTCACAGTGCTGAGTCAGGCAGGGTCCAGCCAGGTCAGCAATGCCTCCTCTTCCTCGGGCACCTATCTCCCCGTTTCTTTGACACAGAACTTCCAACAGCCCAGGAGAACGAGGCCCAGGAAGACTTACTTTCCCAATGTCACCCAGTGAGCGACCAGCACCCTCGAATGGAAAGCCTTAGCTTCAGTTTCAGCCCCAATTCCATCTCCAGTTTGGCCAAAAAGCTCATGAGGGCAACAGTCTAACACAGGCAGGGCTTGTTGCCATTTTGAATGGGCACAGACTGCCCACTTAGGATACCCATTCAAGTCACAGCCGCCCATTGGAAACACCCACCACTGCTCATTTTGCCTAAAAGAACACAGGAGACAGGAAACTGCTGCCCAGAACGGTTCCGTCCTATTCCATTGACATAGTTATGCTGGCTCTTCCTTGAAAACGTGCTACTTCTTCGTGGAGCCCCCAGTCCTTCACAGAAAGATTAATCAAATGAACAGATTTCTAAACTGGACTCAGATTCAAGGACTGTTATGCATGTACTTTCCCTCTTTGTAAAATTTAATTGCTGTTATGTAATTCCAGGGCAGGCTAGTGCTCCTCGACTTAATCAGGTGCATTTTCTCTTATTACGTTTTTGTGGCTTCCTGTTACAGGCCTTTGTAAGAGGTTTCATGGGTAGGCCCGGGTTGACTTTGAAGTGTTCCCTGGGTTAGCTGGCTGAGGACCACTGGACTGGCTGGCTGCTAAGGAGATTTGTCGGAGAACCGTTTGAAAGTACCTACTTCTCCAAGGTACATCTAACAGAACTGATTTCTAGACATGAAGTTGGAAATTCTAACCTCTACTGTGAGCTCTACTTCGCTTCTCCACAAAACTCTGTCATTTCAGCCCTCTTTGGATGACAAGTGCTTGCTGCTGCTTCTTTGTCTCTTCTCTCTTTCTTTTAAAGGAAACTTATAAACCAAATCATTCTAGTGACCTTGGCCTTGCACAGCTTCTCAACGCTTGCCAGTAAGGAAACTGTTGAAAAGTTTCTCTGAAGGTAGTCTAAACAATTTTAGATGAAAAGAACTAAAAATATTTTAAAGCTTCTTAAACTTTAATTTTAGCACAAGTTCTATTGTTGCTGTGGTTATTAATGTCTTGTGAAATTTTCAAAGAGCAATTTGTCTTGTGGCTGTGTTTTCTTTTGTGGATGGGGGTGGGGGTGGGGAGATAATGCATAAACATTTCCAAAGTGGTTAAATGAAAGTTGCTGGCTTTTTCCTAAATCAACTCCAATGCCTGGTTGACAGCCTCACCTTTGTTCCCTATTTACCTGTATGAACTGGTTTACAGGAAGTGCGACAACTGGCAACTTGTAGAGATTGCAATGGACTCACACTTATCTTCTCTCTCGCCCAGCCGTTCTGACTTTTGTAAAGCCACTAACATCAAACCAAGAGAAAAAGATGATCAGTGGCAGATACTCCTCATAAACAGATTCCCATGGTGAGCTGGCCAAAAGCAAAAAAAGCAGATGAATCATTCTTCAGGCCCGTCTCCCAATTTTCTTTAGCTTGGAATTTCCTTTATGTTCACTGTGAACTTCCTGGAAGCAATGGACTCTTGAAGCATTTTTTATTTTCTTAAGTGGAAAAAAAAAAGATGTGCTGCCATTTCCCCCCCAAAAGTGGTGGTCTTTGGAAGGGGGTAGAGTTTTGCCACTCACCACTTACTAAACTACTCTGGATGAGGTGGGAGAGAAACCACCCAAGCTGTGTCTCTCAGAAGTTGACAGATAGGAGTGGAATACTGATCTGCCTCCCCACACTAGCACAGGTCTGGTTAAAGGACAGAGAGTTTTATTTTGGTTTTTGATTGGTTTAGGTCTTTCAGCTTAGGGCAGTAGTTCCCATGCTTGCCTAGGCCTCTGAATCACCTGTAGAAAGGTCCAGGCCCACCCCAGATCTCCTGAATCAGAACCACATTTTAAGAATCCAGCATGGAAGAGACATAAGAAGTTTTCCAGCTCTTATAAGATTTTGCAGTTTAATCCTTAAAATCAACTATAAATGTTTAGAGCTTCTTATATCTTATAGCTATAAAGATGCACTGAAATATCTTACTCTAACACTGTGTCCTCTCAGCAGTTGATGAGAAGGTAAGTTGAGGTAGTCTTAAAGGAATAAGTTTTTAAAAATACACATGGGGGAAATGTAAACAGCCTGCTATTACTCTTTTGTAAATATGGTCAGGAATAGGGAAATTGCCTTTAAAATTATGAATTGCAAAAGACTGTTTTCCATGGTTTCAAAAATTAGAAATAATGTAAAACCCTTTTAAAAATCTTTCAGAAAAAATGTATTCTTTTGTTGAGATCAGAGTTTAAGAAAGCAGGTCATCAAAAGAAAAATTCCTTCCACCCTAGCATACCAATTTCCATAATTGATTTAGAAGCTAAAAATTACAGTGAAAAAGACTTGGCAAACTTGAGTTTTGATTGTCCTCCTCTAATTCCTTAAATGTTCCAGTGAGGGAAATGCTGAAAGTTAAGTTGCCATTTATACAGACAATGTACATAATAGAACTTAAGACTGAATATTAGACTATGAATATACTATGTACACATAATGTCATTGCTGTCTCCAGGGAAACAAGATTCCAAACCTTTGTGAGCAAACAAATTTTTTAATGCTATATTGTTTCAAATTTTACATATGGAAAAAAATAAACTGGAGGAAAATATAACAAAAAGTTAACAGTGGTTATATCTAGGTTGTGGGACTTCAGATGACCTAAACATTTTTCTTCTTTATATTTTTTTTCTGGTTTTTCACATTTATTACTTGGAAATTAGAATTTTTTATTTTTTTTATTTTTTTTAGGAAAAGGCACCCTTGATCATATCAATTGTCTTCTGTTTCATCTGAGTTTTGTACCAAATTACATTTTCAGAATAAGCATGAGAGTTGCTTTCCATCAAGTCTATCTAGATGATTAGGGAAGTAAGAATTTTCATTTCCCACTCAAATATTATTAGGTATCTAAGGATATATATAATGTACATGTAAGTTATGAAGCATAAATTAAATTATTACCAGGCCTATGGAAGCTGCTTGTATTTCTTTCTCAATCCCACCCTCTGGCTTATCTGCCTCCAGAAGAAACCAAGGCTCTGACTTTTGTATTAATCATTCTCTTGCTTTTAAAATTAGTTCTATCACATATGTATGGTTCCCTAAAAGAACCCTTTTTTTAGAGGGTTCTTTTGTATGTTTTTGAAATGTATAAAAATGGTATCACTACATATAATTTTTTTTGTAAATTGCTTTTTTTGTCAACATGCTTGCAAGACTCATCCATTTTTCTACATTTAGAGAAGTTCATTTATATTCAGAGCTCTTTTCTTTTTGTGGATATTTGGGGTTTTCCAGTTTTTTGCGTTATTTTTTTTTTGTTATGATGAACATTTTCTTTCTGGACATTTTCACATATGCCTTCTGAGGCACATTTAGGAGGGTTTGTCTAGGACAGTGATGGCGAACCTATGACACGCGTGTCAGAGGTGACACACGAACTCATTTTTTTGGTTGATTTTTCTTTGTTAAATGGCATTTAAATATATAAAATAAATATCAAAAATATAAATCTTTGTTTTACTATGGTTGCAAATATCAAAACATTTCTATATGTGACACGGCACCAGAGTTAAGTTAGGGTGTTCAAAATGCTGACACACCGAGCTCAAAAGGTTTGCCATCACTGGTCTAGGATATATACAGGGAGTGGAACTGGTCATAAGGTATGTGTCTATCCAGTGGTTCCCAAACTTATTTGGCCTACCGCCCCCTTTCCAGAAAAAATATTACTCAGCCCCTGGAAATTAATTTTTTTAAAATTTTAATAGCAGTTACTCATAGCCCCCAAATGCACCTGTGGCCATCACTGCCCCCCTGGATCGCTGCAGCGCCCACTGGGGGGCGGTAGCGCCCACTTTGGGAATCACTGGTCTATACACTTTACAACGTAATTTTAACTTGTCTTCCAAAGTTGTTGAACAAAACTACATTTCCACCAGCGGTGCATAGAATTTCCTTTGTTCCACATCCTGATCAACACTTGTATTGCTAAATTTTTAAATTTTTGCTATTATTATTATTATTATTATTATTTATTTGTTAATCCTCACCGGAGGATATTTTTTCATTGTTTGTAGATAAGAATGAAAGGGAGGGATGGAGGGAGAGAGGAAAGAGAGAGAGAGAGAGAGAGAGAGAGAGAGAGAGAGAGAGAGAGACATTTATGTGAGAGACATATCAATTGGTTGCCTTCCGCATGCCCTGACCGAGGCAGGAACAAACCTGCAATCCAGGTGTGTGCCCTTACCCATGACCCTTTGGTGTGTAGGTCAACGCTCTGACCACCTACCAGCACTGGACAGGGTACTGTTATTTTATGCATTCTTTTTATCCATGAATAATATCTAAACCTTCCTGAAGCTATTTATATTTTCACCCTGTTTAACTTCTTGGGGCTAAAAGGTTCCAAATGTTTACTGTTTGCTTATAAGAGTATTTCCTGTTCCAGCCTAAGAGATTTGAGGTATTTTTAAAGAATTTAGATTTTGTCTCCAGGCTAGCTCATTATTCCCATTGGTGACCAAGAACAATACAAAAGATGTATGGAAAACTAATTACAGCAGACCTTGTCTGTATTATGTTAAAAATGTTACTATTTCCCCATCTACAGAAGTCAGAACTTGATTCTGCACTTTAAAACTGTGTTAACCATATCAATT